TACTGCGGTTCTTCTAGGTTTGTTTCTCCCCTTTATTTTCAATTTTTCGTTGTCACCTTTACATCTGATAATTCAAGCCACTTCTGCTCCTTCTCATTAACGGTCAGGCAAGCGTTGAAAATGAGCACCTATTTTCGAGCGCTTGAAATATATCGACTGTTATTTCCAATCTACATATTTTGAAATGAATAAAGTTTTTTTTAATCAAGTAACTTCTAATCTATTTGAAATTAATAAACCTCCTTGTCAAAGAAGAGGTTTCTTAAATAAATAAAATCTATGAACTTGAATGACACTTAATGAAGCTGGCATTGAACTTCAATGCCGAAGTGAAATCACTTTTGTTCTAGAAAGAAGTCACCAAAGAAGTACCCACGGATGACACAGATATCTCGGAGGAGGAAAAGTAATTGATGTCCCACGCTTTCTTTCACAACCTCGATACTTCTCTTTTACATCCTTTTTATTTGGAGTAAATGACCATTTACATGAGTTTTTCAACATCTTCAAAACTAGGGGATTTTGGAGTACTGTGGGGATGGGTCATAAGTATTTAATACTCATACACCTATTACGCCCAGTATGCTCACAAAATAATGTAAGGTGTTTTGAGTTCCATATCACGTGTGAACTGGTGTAAAAAAATGGAGTGCATGCTCTGCAGAATAGGTAGTTAAATAAAATAAATAAATAAAATGGTACCAAATTATACGGTAGGGGAAAACTATGGCGTTCCAGGCAAGATAGACCTTAACAAAAACTTTCGACTGGCGGTCACATTATTGAGCCGCATTTATTAAAAAATAAAATAAAATAAAATAAAATAAATGAACAAGAAAACAAAATAAAAAATTTAAAACAAAATCAACAAAAAAGTTGTGCCCTATTCCGATCACTGGTTACCCATTGATCAAATGTTTTTTCTTTCTGGATTGACTCCGTTAAACGCCACATTTCAAATCATGGGTAGCAAAAACTGTCTCCATTGATGTTTGTCGTCGGATTGATTTTTCTATCCTGCCTATGTGTACGTGTTTCAAGACATCACAAAATACTTTTCCTTCTTCAGCACTCATATTTATATTAAAATCACCGTCAAACCCGTAATTATACGTCAACAATAAAAAGAATATAAAAATACTTTAAATTATTATTATGTAAATACATTAAAAACGGCTGCTAGTGATAATAAAAAGAAAAACAGCAGTGGTCGCCATAGCAACGCATGCAATGACGACGCATGCGCACTGTTTACTATTACTCTTGAACACAGTTGAAAAGTGTGTGGACGCCATCAAATCCAAAACAAGACCCATTTTGCCAATGGGTAATAAATGAATGAAAAGTAATAAAAGAGTAAATAAATACTGCGTTATAATAGTAAAAAAAATTTTTGTTTTAGATGACATAAGTGCATTCATTTATTGCACAAATTATGCTCAGTGCGTCAATTTTTCTTTTATCGGTTTTATTTTTGGTTTAAAATCTATCTATATATTTTCTTACACGGCGACAAAAAAAATCCTCATTTCTTTTNAGAATAGAATAGAATAGAATAGAATAGAATAGAATAGAATAGAATAGAATAGAATAGAATAAATAAATGAACAAGAGAACAAAATAAAAAATTTAAAACAAAATCAACAAAAAAGTTGTGCCTTATTACGATCACTGGTTACCCATTGGTCAAATGTTTTTTGTTTCTGGATTGACTCCGTTAAACGCCACATTTCAAATCATGGGTAGCAAAAACTGTCTCCATTGATGTCTGTCGTCGGATTGATTTTCATACCCTGCCTATGTACGTGTTTCAAGACATCACAAAATACTTTTCCTTCTTCAGAATTCATATTTATATTAAAATCATCGTCAAACCAGTAATTATACGTTAATAATAAAAAGAATATAAAAATACTTTAAATTATTATTATGTAAATACATTAAAAATGGCTGCTAGTGATAATCAAAAGAAAAACAGCAGTGGTCGCCATAGCAACGCATGCAATGACGACGCATGCGCACTGTTTACTATTACTCTTGAACACAGTTGAAAAGTGTGTGGACGCCATCAAATCCAAAACAAGACCCATTTTGCCAGTGGGTAATAAATGAATGAAAAATAAAAAAGTAAATAAATACTGCTTTTTAATAAATTTTTTTTTTTTTTTGTTTTCGATGACATAAGTGTATTTATTTATTGCACAAATTATGCTCAGTGCGTCAATTTTTCTTTTATCGGTTTTATTTTTGGTTTAAAATCTATCTATATATTTTCTTACAAGGCAGAAAAAAAGTCATCATTTCTTTTTTGCGTTAACAACTACAGCGTTAACGTAACCCTAATCGCTGTGAAGCACAAATAGCATTACCGTTAGAGTTAGGGTAAAGCATAACGCTTTACGAAATCTCTCTATTATAGCGTTTTAAATTATCTATTTCTTAAGACTAAAAGAATTTCGCACTTTCCATGTAACTTTGCCGATTTGATGTTGGAAAAAGATTCGCGTGTGCGATACATTGCTAATTTTGAGAAACTTCTCATTTTCGATACCACAGAAGGTAAATAATATACTATATGCAAATAGGATGATGCATAATCGCAACCATTAGATCGCAAAATAGTATTTAAGTGAAGAAACGAAAATGGCATTAAAATCTATCAAATCACTATAAAGGTGGGATTATGAGCATGAAAGCCAGTTAGATTGAATGATGAAATTTGGAGGAGTTTCTAACAATTGCCTTTCAACAAATCTCCATTTCCACCTGCAATCAATCAGGTTTTGGTGTTGTCAGTTTTATCTTTCTCAATAGTGATTCGTTAGATCTTGATATCGTTTTTGCTTTTTCCCTAAATTAAATATTAGTTAGCGAGCCCTAATTTTTTTTCCAGTTAGATTTTGATATAGATTCTTAAAATATTTATCATAAGCCGTTGTTACAGAACAACCTGTATAAGAAAATATGCATAGAGATTAAAAAATAACCAATCTATGTATTATCATTGCTGATTGCAGTAAAATACATTTTAAAGGGCATGAATATGGAGAAAATAAGGTGTCACATGTACACTTTGTGTAATGTAACAATTTACTCTTTTTATTTAAATCTAATCTTTTAATTGTTTTAAACTTTTTTTTAACATAAAACTTTAATTTTATTTCATACGAAATTTCCCAAATAATTTTTTAAATAAGGGTTTTGTTTTCTCAATTTAAACATATAATTTTCTTAAAATATCTTGTCAGGCAAAAGTTTCCCTTTCTTTTCGCAATGTATGTTAATTTCCTTTTCGCCCTTCCTCGCTGGTCAACGTGGTTATTGCACTTCCTGTCGTTGTTGCACTTCCTTCGATTCCCGTCTTTCTTTTAACTTCATTTTTTTAAGGGGGGCTTACTTAACTAATCCCTATCATCTGATTAACTCTCCTCGCTTTAAATTTAATTGGCTAACGCTTTTCTGGGTCTAGACCAGTTAACGAATTTTTTTAAGATGGTTTAACACATTCTGATTCTTTTTCGAGCCTTCTGGCTTGGTACGCCAAGGGGTGTACCCTCTGCTTTCTTTCACCGAGATGCGGATTTTGGTTCGTATTGAGGGAATTAATTCTTTCTCCCACATCCTACTTTACTTAGTCACACCCTACTCAGTGGCGAATCCAGCGGGGGGTCATGCCCCCCCCCCTAAAAATTTAAATAAAAAATAAAAATAATAATTTTTTTAATAGTTTGCAAAAGAAATAAAATATTCTAAAAATTATTTAAGGGAGCACATACACCTAGGTAGGTCGGAAAAATCGATTTTTTTTCCATCTAACTATGTTCTTCACTGTTTCAAGAATCATAATCCAAAAGATTAAAACGATATTCGTCATAGTTTCATTGTAAACATTAATAATGTTGAACATTTATAATGCTAAGTAAACATTAATAACGATTAAATGGACTCGCATTATTAAACATTCACCGAGAAATTGATTTGGATGTTGAAAAAATCATTGACAGATTTGCCAAAGTTTCTAAAGAACGCATTATATTTATTATTTAAAGATTTTGAATACTTGAATTATTTATGTATTGTTCTGTTGTTCATCATGAAAAAAATGAATGAGAAGACTAGCATTAAAAACCGCAGTTTTTATTATTTTTATTTTTCAAAAAAATATTTAAGAAAATATTTTTTATAAAAAAAAATGAATTATGTGTGGGGGGGATCTGAGTTTATGACCCCCCCCAGGAAAAATTTCTGGATCCACCCCTGACCCTATTTTACTATTTTATCTTTATATCAACCCTTTGATATAAAGATATCAAAATAAGGGATTACGTATCAAAATAAGGGTATAAAGGGATTTCAACCCTATGGATAGACACCACCTCCATCACTGAGCAGTCCTTAGGGGCGACACCGAGACTGGGCTTTATTGGAAGGCCAGAAAACTTATGAGGCAATGATTTCGGTCAATTTATTGTTGTGTCATCTTTACTTCTGTTCCTGTTAATTTATTTTTATTTCTGCCTTGCCATTGGAAATAAAAAAAAAATTTAAAAAAAACAAACATTATTTTATACATTTGAATTTTCCTCGAAAATCATAATTTTTATAATTCAACTGTTTTTTTTTTCTTTGCATTTATCTTATCATCGTTTAAATTTCCATCCTTTGTATGCGAAACCGATGCCTTTACCTTTGAATGCGAAACCTTTATAAGATTTCAAAACTATGGTGAAATCTTTGTAGTGAAAACATGGAAAGAACCCCGGAACTGCAGGTTCACACAACATTGCGTCATAGACCGTTCTATGTGATTCATGCACTTCCAATCCTCATCTGGAGATATAAGTAGGATCTGATATTTTCGCTGGAAAATACATTCCCCCAACTAGATTCGATTAGAATTGCACGAATAGTGAGAATGGTTTCCCAGCGACAGTAATAAGTAGAGGTTTCTTTAAAAGATGTTACCTGCAAAAGTATGGAAAAGTTAGCTAAAGGGTTACCTGCAGCTAAGACAATCCAGAAGCACCAACCGAAAGCGAAGTGCAAAGATCCTCCTTCAAATGGAATGACCAGAGGTTTTTGAGGTAAGAGAAATGCGTAGAGGGCGTTTGTGAGCAGCATCAGCACCCCGGTCATCTGCATGGTATATGCTCCATACCTGGGAACCGTGCATAGGAGGATATTCATCAGCAGCCACAGAGAGAACGCGGCCCTGCAAAAAGAAAATAACATTATTTTCTTTCAGTTCATTTCTTTCTACGTAAAATAACAGATTAACTGCTTTATTTGGTTTAGTTCTATACGAAAACTTGGTTAGTATCATTTTAAAAATAATAATAGTGAGATTTAGTACTTAGCATTTTGATCAATGTTCTGCGCAGAGCAAAACTATTTTGATTATCTACGCAGCTTGTGTATTACGTGTAAAGTGCGCAAAGTAAAAAGGAGAAAGGAACTCCCTTACTAACTTACTATCTAATGATTGGATTTTCACATACTTGAACTCAATTTTAATGACTAAACCAAAAATCAACGAGTGCTTTATTCACAATGTTTTTCGATTTAGTCTACTTAGTACAAATTATAACCCATCCTTCTTTTGGATCAATCTTGAAGGTTTGAGGGCCTTACCTTAAATATGCTTAGCAGACGATATTTTAAGCTGAATTTTTAATTTTTAGTGATAGCAGAAGATAGTTTAATCAGATATTTTAATTATATGCAGACGATATTTTAAGTGACGAAATCGAACTTAAAACTATATTATTTTCGAATAAGCATCCTTTTTTTTCTTTACAGATTTGGATATTTCACTCCTAAATAAGGAAGGTAGTCGCAATCCGTAAAATTTAGGGTCCCAATAGTTAAGGCAAGATAACTGTAGAGAAGTTCAAACCCCTCAATGTAAATTTCACTTTTTGCATATTTTTCAATATCTCGAAAACTGTTTCAATGAATCGAAAAATGTTTGCACACTATCATAAAATTCGTTTATCCATAAAAACTTCCGAGTAAAAAATAACCCTTCAAAACTTTCTTTCCAAATTAAAAAAAAACTACTGGAAAATTTCAAGAAACTTTTTAAATTTTCAAGATATTTAAATCGGAAGTTTTTCATAAGTTATCAAGTACGATTCAAAACAAAATATAAAATTTTTTTTAATGTTTTCCACACATGCGCAGTACAAAATTATTACTTTAAATAATCATATCATGCGTAATTTTTAACAATTTTTTTTCCAAATCATAAAATAATATTTTTTATTATTAAGTAAAAATTTTTCTAAACATTTTGTTTAGTTTTATTGAATATTTTGCAGTTATAATAAAAAAGTTTGTTTTTTGTAAAAATGCCCATTTTTGCATGTATATTTGAACTAGGTTTACGAAATTTTGTGCAGTTATTTCATAGGATAATAAACGTAATTGACATGAGTTACAAGCTTATCGCTGCATTTTGCGGTATAGTGAGTTCAAAAACATTATTTTCCGTTCGTAATTTATTGCTGGTTTCTAAAAGCTTTAAACTTTAGTGATATGTATGAGAAATTGCCTGACCTAAACACTAAACGAAGTTTTACAATAATTATCTTAGTATTATATGTAAGAAATGAGTTAGTACAGAAGTTTTCATTATTTTGTATATTGTATTTATTGTAGCAGAGTTTACTAATGAAATAAAAGTACAGTTATATTTTTATATGTAAAGAACTAAATTAGTTGTTCAAAAATTCATCCAACTTTGCATGTTACAAGTACATTGGTTGTTTAAAAAAATGTTACAGTATTCTGTATATTTTAAGAACTTTATTAGCTAGCTGAATATCCCCGTTCTTCGTAAGGATGGAGAAAAAAAAGTAAGCAATCAATACATCAATACTGAACAACAATGCAAAATCCTGCAAAACAATTACCAATACAATTATTAATGCTAAAACTATTCTATTTTTAAAATTTATCATTATATTTGGCCTCTTCCGGTGGTTTTACGTTATTAGATTATTTTATATTTATATATATATATATAATATGCCTTTAACGGCTAAATAATTTAAGAGACTTAGGCTTCTTCAGATAGAAAGGCATTTTATTAACTTGTATTAAGTATTGAAAACATTTTTCGCTGGAGTTTTACATCTATTACATTGTAGGTCTCCCTATCAGGAATGTTGAGAATTGGCCCAGATTTATCTAGCCATGAAAATATAAGAAAAAGCCACGAATTTTTGGTGCGCTTGATATTTAAAGAGGGGTTTTGAAAGGGAGGTGGTTGCAAGGATATTCTTACCTTAATGAAACGTCATTCAATTGATAAAATTTAGAGATTTTGATTCGCTAAAAGGATAGCGCCACTCTGATGCTGGGAATTTTTTGAGACTATCTTAATGCGTACTTTATCTACAAATTATTGCCCATTAACTTCAGAAAATTATCTTTTATCTGGCCTTATCTGGTTTATCTTGACTTTTTATGGCTCTTTGTGAGCCATACGGCTTTTGTCTTAAACTTGATAAGAAACATCTGTTTTAAGCTTATCATTTAATATAGAAAGACTCTCATGAGGCATTCTATATTACATAATACTAGCTGTACCCTGCGTGCGTTGCAAAGCTTTCAGTTTGAATTTAAATTTTGTATTTAAGTGTGTAAATGAGATTTGTGATTATGATTTGAATAGAGAATTTTATTTAATGGTGAAAAAACCAGTGATAGTCTCAACAGTTAATTCTCTAGGATATCGTTAGTGCATTTTCAAACAGACATGTATGGTGATGCACACCGACCATGAAACATATTTTGGATGATGATCTGAAATAATTCTGGATCAATGGCGTCATGAATATTTCTGCTGATATGAGCTGACCAATTTGTCCTGGTGTGAGTTTTTCAATAAGCCAAATCATGTGGCAATTCTCTTTTTCTGCCGTTCAATAGAATGCATCAAACACCGTGTCTCTCTAAAAACATGACTTTTCGCAATAAAACCAAGTTTAGAGCTTAATATTTGTTTTAACTCACGTGTGATAATGCATCATGAAGATCCGATGATGTTTGCCTAAGTTACTAAAGCTCTTTAATTTTAGCTCAAGCAGGATTGCATGTGAATGTAATAAATAACTCTAGCTGTCCATATGCGCACCGATACTTGTAGCAGCACCGAATGAAGTCATTTGGAAACACGAATGTACTGACCTATATTCGCCAAGAAAAGTTTCTATTGATTTGCTTGACCCGATAACAACGTTGATAATGGCTCGGCTGGCGACGTTAAATCTGGTAGTTACACTTTGCCTCCAGAACAGCAAATTCCAGCTGTTTCATTCTTAAATTTGAGAGCACTACAAAACATACATAATTGATCCATTTTTCCGATGATGACGCTTGGGTGAAAGACTATAGTTGGTTGTCGGATCATAGTGAAATGCACTGAGATTCAAATCAGAGTATTGGCAGCGTCTGAATAGCGAAGTGCGTTCTTGATTGATTTTTATTCTTGCATCCCGTTGCTCTGATGTTTCCGACGAACGGGCTTGATAAGTGCGTAGTTGATTTGTTAACAGTCTTCTTTCCCGTTGCTCTGATGTTTCCAAGGAACAGGCTTGAGTAGTGCGTAGTTGATTTGTTAACAGTCTTCTTTCCTGTTTCTCAGACGTTTCTAAGGAACGGGCTAAAGCATTGTGTTCTCGATTAGTTTCAAGTCTTTCTTCCCGTTGCTCCGATTTTTCTGAAACACGGTTAGTTCTCTTCTTGCGTGCTTGAGATGTTGATCGACTAAGAGCGATTCGTTTAGGCGGCATATTTTTGCAAATATTCTCTTTCAAACAAAAAGAAATGTAGAAGTTGACAGTGGTCGCAAATTTGCTAATTCGAAAATTCACGTATTTATTTTAAATAATAAAAAAGCAATAAAAATGAAATAAATTAAATAAGAAATATAATAATGATAAAATTTAAAACAAAAATCTATTTTTGGTAAAAATATACTTGTGGGTGCCCCTTGACGAAATTGGTAACTTATGTTTATCACCATTCCTGTTTGCGCGGAACACCGCGGTAACAGGAATGGCTGCCAAAACATAATGATATTTTAATAATACATTGGAAAATTTCAGCAAGACATCGGCCAAAACTTTATAAAATTGCAATGAACCCAATGTAAGCAAAATTAATAAACCCAATAAAATGCATTTTGAATCGAAATAAAAATTAATGGAGTAAGCACAGAAAGAAAAGGAAAAAAAAAAATCTCACTTATTCATTAAGCTTGAATTTCCTCAGTTTTAGGTGCACAGAATTCTCTAATAGCAGTTAGATACTGTCTAAATTTATCATGAATAGAATCTGTGTTCCTCCATCGCCACATAAATTCGGCGAAATACGAATTGAAAATGGCGTCTGTGGTATCGGAATGGCGGTGACATTTTTTTCTAAAGTCCTTTTTTTATGACTGCCCACATACCTTCGATCCTATTGATCAGAAGCAAAAGTAACCTAACCAGCCGGTATCCAACATAGAACTAACGGACTTCTGAAATTACATATACCGTTGAACATTTAAAAATAACGCTGAAATTTAAACGAATCAGAATCACGATTGGGATTCAACATCGGCCAGCTTGGAGATCAACCGCTATCACAACTTGGTGAGAGTCAAGGGGCACCCTCAAATATAGTCTACTCCTATTTTTTAAATGAAATAATTAAAATGAATGTGAATTCGCAAACTTTGTAATAATAAACAATCTAATAGTTTTCAAATGACAACTGTCAGCAATGAAAAATTGCATACTGAATTGAGCTAAAATTGCATACTAAATATAAATAATTATTAAAAGCGTGCAAGATGAATAAAATTTGCTTTTGCCTTGATTTTTATTAAACAGTTTTCACAATACTAAATCCGTGATACGACCAATAATTACGAAACTTATTCTCGTTGATTTTACGTGCTTGTGCTCACCTGAAATAAAGAACCGAATTATGATTAAATATTAAAGTATATGTAATTTACTTTTCTAAAAGAATAGAGCTATAAGATAGAAAATATCACTGTTGTTATCTTCAAGATATTTGAAAACTGATTCGTGTACAGCAAAATTTAAAACAATGGCTAACTTTTAACCAATCAGAAAATTCCATTTCGATTTTCGCTGATACCGCTGGAACGGTTTGTGGCAGAATGTTCTATTGTGAATCTAAACCATTCTCGAA